GTCCCCTCTCCCCTCAACCGACCCTGCTCCGGTCCTGAGCACTCATGAGCTGAGGCGTGTGTTCCGGAGCATTAACACCAGGAAGGCGGCCGGGCCGGATGGAGTGCTGGGCCGGGTGCTAAAAGACTGTGCTGCGGACCTGGCGGACGTCTTCACCTCTATATATAACACCTCGTTGTCCTGTTCACTGGTACCATCCTGTTTCAAAGCAGCAACCATCGTTCCCATCCCAAAACAGTCAAATGTCACATGTCTGAACGATTTCAGACCTGTGGCACTCACCCCCATTCCCGCCAAATGCCTGGAGAGACTGGTCATTAAACACATCAGAGCTGCTTTTCCACCATCCCTGGACTCGCACCAGTTTGCATACAGGGAGAACCGGTCAACCGAGGATGCGATCGCCACAGTGCTGCACACATTACTGAAGCACTTGGAACACAGGAACACCTATGCACGGCTCCTCTTTGTAGACTACAGCTCGGCTTTTAATACCATCTGGCCATACAAACTCCGTCCCAAACTCCACCAACTGGGACTTAACTCCTCTCTGTGCAACTGGATTGTGGACTTCCTCACTAACCGTAGACAGAGTGTCAGAGTGGGTAAGAACACCTCTTCCACCCTTGTGGTCAACACCGGTGCCCCTCAGGGATGTGTTCTGAGCCCTCTGCTATACACTCTCTTCACCCATGACTGTATTTCCTCCTGCGCGTCCAATCTCATTGTTAAGTTTGCAGATGACACTACAGTGCTCGGACTTATATCCAACAATGATGAGACAAACTATAGGACAGAGGTGCAACAGCTAGAGTCATGGTGCCACGACAATAACTTGGTCTTAAACACCAAAAAGACCAAGGAGATCATTGTAGATTTCCGGAAGAGGGGTCATAACAACCATCTGCCTCTCTTCATTGGCAGTGAGGCGGTGGAGAGGGTGAGCAGTTTTAAATTCTTGGGGGTAACTGTGACCGAGGACCTGTCCTGGGGCAACCATATCACCTCAGTTGTACGGAAGGCCCAACAGCGCCTCTACTACCTGAGGAGACTGCGGAGCGCACACATTCCCAGATCTCTGATGTTGAACTTCTACAACTGTGCCATCAGCAGCGTTCTGACGTATGGATTTCTAGTGTGGTTCCCCAGCTGCACCAAGGCCGATCAGCAAGCACTCCAGCGGGTGGTGAAAGAAGCTGGCAGAATTATTGGAACAAGTCTGCCAGAGATCAGTAATATCTTCCCCACTCGCTGTCTGAGGAGGGTGCACAGTATCCTGCGGGACCAACATCACCCTGCGCGCCACCTTTTCCATCTGCTGCCCTCAGGGAGAAGGTACAGGTCTATACAGGCCAGAACATCCAGACTGGCCAACAGCCTGTATCCACAGGCTGTGAGGCTCCTGAACTCTCTGCCCCCCTCTCACGGACAATAACCATATCCAACTTCTTAATAGCAATGAACTGGTCTGCATTGGTGCATCATATCTTTATTCTCTTCCCCCTCCTGCCCCCCCCCCCCCCCCCCCTCTTTCTTAAATAGATAACTATCATATCTGATATCATATCTCACAGTACAATAATATTGAATGGGTTGCATTGTTGTATTTTGTCATGTTTCTCAGGTCTTTGTCTGAATTTCTACGAACATTATTGCTAAGGATTGTCTTATTGCATTGGAGTCACACTGGGTTAAATATGTACACTTGGGTTTTAAGGGGTATTTATTATTTTCTTCTTTTTTTTGGGTTGTATGGAAGCCCCAAACGCAATTTCATTGTTCTTGACAATGACAATAAATAAATAAATACTAAATACTAAGAAATGTCAGCTTTGTTATTTGGTTTGAGATGTGCATTTTTCCCATCCAGCCCTCAACCAAATGCTGGATCCTTAACTTGGTGCCCAGTCGCCAAAACACTGAGAAATCCTGCTCTATTAAACTAAAGGCCTCTTTCACATTGGCTAGGAGGAGAACAGTAAACAGAAATTGTGTGCATGGGAGCAAGGAGAACATTGCTGCCATTCTCTACTTATTAAGGATCACATGGGACAACCAGAGGACTGTTGGAACAATAGTTTGCTGATGAATATGACCAAATTTGAACTTCGAGAAGTGTCTGAAGACAGGAAAATCCAGTTGTAGTAGAATCACAGTCTGGGCTAGGATGACTGGACATCATTGACGAAACAGTAAGATCTGGATTGCACCACTGTGAATCAAATCTCAAGAGAAAGTGGGTCACGCAGCAAGACACCGACCCATGCAATTCAGTCTCCCAAGGAATGCTTAAAGAGGAATAAAGTTAATGTTCTGGAGCAGCCAACTCAAAGTCCTGACCTTAACCAAACAGAAGTGTTATGGAAGGACATGAAGCAAGCAGTTCATGTGAGGAAACCTACTAACATATAAGATGAAGCTGCTCTGTACAAGAGACAGGCTAAAATTCCTTTAAGCTCGTGCTGATCCACAGTTACATTCAGTTGCAAACGGGGTCCCACCAGATACTATAACCAAAGACTTAGATGATTCTGATTAATGGATCATTTTACTCAATAAAAAGACCATGCTTAATATTTTTTATGTAAAAAATATTATTTGTGCTTCTATTTATGCTTTCTTATTCTTTAGTAATCACTGGACTGCTCTCTCTATCTACCAGTAGGTAAAAAGGTAAGGAATCTACAGGTTACTTACAGCAAGAAGGAAGTTAGTATTGACTCTGTGAACATGTATTAATGATTTGCACTAGAGCTGCAGTACAGGTCAATAACAGTTTTCCACTCCCTAATATCTTAATTGTAACAATGAACTATTACAAATACATTTACTGAGGTTCAGCTTGCAGGTAGAAACCAATTAACCTCTGATGGAGCAGGCATAACTACGGTATGGAGCCATTTCACACTTTGGCATTCATATTTCAAGGCATAAATTTATCATGACTTTAGAACAGCAGTCATTGTCACATGTTGCGATCACGTGCTGGAACATCACAAGCACCATTCGTCAGCTCACCTATTCAAGGAATAAGTGGGAAAGGACACTTACAGTGTCTGACAGTAACCATACAAAGCTTTCTATTTAGCCATAAATCAAGCATTTATTGACTAATTTCCTTAGAATTAGCACATTTTCAGGTCAGTTTTTAGGATATGTCATCTGCTGTTCTATGAGTCTACTTTTAACATGAAAACCAAATTACTTTATTGAAACATGACTGCTTCTTACAGTAATTTGCAGTCCATACTCCATGATTCAGTCCTTTATCAAAGCTGCTGTGATGTGATTTACATCATTAGTCATAACTTTACAGAGTATAGTAATGATGCACATCCCCGCTGAATGATTCAGTGCAGAGACCTTCATATAGAGGCGCTAACTAATGAAGGATTATTAGACCCAGAGATGTATAATGTGGATCTGGATGGGGTCACTTCTTCTGATTTACAGTATTCTACTGAGGATCCTGAGGAATCAGATGATGTGAATGCACCTGGAAGTCAAGCTCTCTTCAACGAAGAAACAGAAGGGCTCTCTGATGAGACTTTGAAGATAAAAGTCAGAAGTCCTTGTTCCAATAGACCTCTGACAAGAGTGAATATACACTGTAAGAACAAAAGAACCCATAAAATCAGCAGGGGCAGAAAAGGGACTGTCAAAAGAAGCAGCACAAAGACTGTAAAATGAACCAGCATCTCACAGGACAATGGAGGCTTGGGACTAAAATCAAGGTGAGGAACTCCTGCTCGTGGCTGCCTCTAGATTTAGTATCTGTTCAACACATAATATTTCAAATGTTATTTGGAAAAAATCACAAATGGAGATTGTAAAGGACTTTGTGATGTTTTGGCTGCTTTAATTTGTGTTCAAATGCAGATACAACCCCTCCGTTTTTACAGCACTCCATACTGTCTGAGCTTGTAAATCACAGTAGTCAGTTTTCACATAAGTAACAAGTGAACACCAATTAATCCAAATTATTGCTTTACTATTCCAGCTTTTTTTTCTCATGCTTTTAGACAGAAGTTAGGATTTTAAACATGTTTAGGAAGTTAAGATATTACTGTTTCCATGTTTCCCCAATTTAATTATGTTATGCTGCCATCTGCTGGACAGTGTAGACCAACAGAGTCTGCAAGTGCAATCTGCATGGATCTAAACATCAACTTTGTCTTCAATTTGTATTATTTCCTTTCAGCGTAGAACTGTGCACTGAACCAGACTTAATCATACCTTTTATTGTTAGTTTTAATACTAAATTAATCACAGAAATTACTAAAAGTACATGTCTCACTGGTAATATAACTTTGGCAATCTAACTTCCTAAATTAAATTACTCTGTGTTCAGACTCGTTTGAAGACTTTACATTCTTCTGTATTTCTTTATTATTATGTGATAAAAATGGTGAATTGATACCTTTTAAAGGCTGTATCTAAGGAGTGCACTTTGCATCAAAAAAAGAAAATCAAGAATATCCATTTATATCATAATACGTTAGACACAACTCCAGAGGGGAATCAACAAAGAGAACTTGTTTGTTTTTTTCATCCAAGGCTTGGTGGGGGAGAAATTAAGATTAATGATAAATAACCACACGTTTTAATTGCCAGTGTATAATCCACAGCAACGCATAATTTATCTAACAACTAATCATTCAAAGAAAATTGGAGAAAGAATTTCCATGCTTATGATATCTATAATTCATAAAAAGAAAATCAACAGATTTAAAAAAACAGATATCCAGCATTTTGTTGACAATGTTGTTCAATTATTAAAATGTTATCAAACCTGAAAATCCTATAATAGCCCCGTAGTAATAACACACTGGTGCCATTTCAGAAAAGAAACACCTGGGGCAATTCGTGATATGCAGGAGTATTAAAATTGCAAATATAACTAAAGTCCTTGAGGAAACTCTCAGATAAACATCTTTTTTCTTCCTTCTTTTGATAAAATGTGCCTATTAAAAAAAAGAAGAAGAAAGAAATGAAAACTGTTCCTCAAAATTGCAGAAATGTTCTTTCTGCTTTTTATTCCAGTGAATTTTGCAGGTATGACAACTTTGAAACTCAAAAAGTTAGTTAGTTAATTTGTTTCATTTTATCAGCTTATTCCATTCCCATTTCATTTAAAAGTTATTTTCAGAATAAGTAATTTCAGTGACAAGGCACCGGTACAAAAACTATGTACATCCATTATCTCGGTCTGACTACTACCTCCCTTCAATGCCAAAATACATCTGAAAGACTTCACAACAGCCTTTCTCATTCAAGAACTGGTAGAGCTGCCCAAGGTCCATGTGATTGCCTCTGTTTCCATGGGGGTCAAACATTGCTTCTTCAAAGCCTGTAAATTTGCGCAGGGAGTCTATATGTTCAACAAGCCTGCTGTCCTCACTCTGACAATCAAGGGAAATATCCTCTCTGTGTCGAATCATGATCTTCTTCCATGTCAAAACCTTCACTCTGTGAAATAGGGGAATAAGATTGGAAAAATATTAAACCTGACACCTCAGCAGGCTTCTGGCTGTGATTAAGTCATCCCCAAAAAACCCAAATCAACAGGCAAGGTACCTGGACCAGAAATCCTCGCAGGCAGATTGAGGACCTTCCACACACACAATACCAGGTTTCCCAGGCATGCTAAATCCTGACAGGCCCAGCTCCTTTGACCAATCCAAGATGTTCTTCCTTTTCGACTTGTTGTAAATGTGGTGACTGTAGATCCACAGCCGGCTGAACACTTCAGGCATCCGAGGTGAGGCAGACTCCTTCTTAGGACCTGGGGCTTCTAATAAGCTCTTATCAATAAAAAGCTGGAGGTTGTCTTTCACCCATTCAACAGCAGAGAGCACACATATTTCCCCCTGGCAGTTTCCCATGAGGTATGCATTAAGAAGTGCCTGGAGCTGTGTCTGCTGGGCCCTACTGAGACCAGAACACCTGAAGCAAGAATAACACATGTTCTAAGAAGGTTTCAAAGAACATTTAAGGTCACTTGGCACTGGGAATTTCCATATCTGTGAGCAATGACAGCACAGCTTCAGGAGGTTCAGCGCTATTAATTATAGTGACTAATGATACACTTTAAACAAATTAGAGGCACTGTTTCTTCCACTTACTGCTGTGGCTGTGTTATTGTTACACAAATTAAATTTTCTTTCATTCAAAACTATATTTAAAGGCAACACTGTGAATGCTATCTGTGCTCATCCAGGCTGCGCTTCCTATATGGTAGAAAAACCTGGGCCACTAGTATTCTATTCACTATACTATTGTTTTCGCTCTCTCTCGTTTTTTTCAACAAGTCTGTACACAGGCAGGTGAGACTCTCCTGAGTGAGCTCCCTAACTATTTTCCTTTATGTTAGGAGTTCAAATGAGGATAATCGCTTACCGGACTGTTATTTCTGGTAACACACTAGGATATTCAGATGGGTAAGCACAGGACAGAATGAACACCGTCTGTATGGGGAAAAAACATGAGAAATTAAACTAAATAATGATTTTTAAAAAAATTATATATAATGACAGATTAGTTACCCCCTCTGTGTTCGCAGAGTCCAGCTTTTGTTTGATGAGAAACTGGGGTCTGGACGGTGGAGGGCCGCCTGTTGAAGCTGAGCCCTCCACGTAGTCCCTGAGCTCGGCTAGTGCCAGCTGGTCAGTGAACTCCAGCTCCTCCACGGTGGGGAACATGCTGGTTAGCAGCTCTATCTCTGCAAGCTGAGACTCAGCCCACTCCAAGTAAGACATGCTGCTTTAGTCGAGAACTAAAATAGTCAATCTTTTCTAATGTTCATTTAAAAAGTTACCAGTTACACCGTTTTCTGGTACGTCCAAAAATATGACTCACTTATGCTAACACATACCATGTTTCCGGCCGTAAACCAGCCTCTAAAATTGATTTCGTTACAGAACAGTATGAAATCTGAAAACAAAATAGTATTTTTATGTATACAGTATAGACATACAGAGGCAGTTTACCACTGTCTAGTGTCCCGCAACGTCTAATAATGAAGTTTTGTTTGAACTCGGACTCTTTTGGCCGACGCACGCAGGAAACACACGGCAGCAGAAACAGCGGCCCCATCACATTTTGTTCCTTTGCATGTGTCAGCTGGGATTTTTTTTCCTGCCAAATCACTGGAGTTATTTTTGCGTGTTCTAAACTTTACGAATCAACGTATTTACACTAAAGCTCGCGATTTATTTCTCCAGTCAACAGTCTAACGTAATTATGTCCGAATTAGAGAAGTCAGGAATAGAAAGTAAACGAAACTGAAGACGATTAGGGTTTTAGGCTCGGTTTGTCACAGTAAGTTGAATGGCCCATGAGGGTGATGATTAAATTTAACGATATATTTCTTATTGTGTGTGTGTGTGTGTTTTTTTAACAGAATTTGCCGTCACTGAACTCTATTAGCAGCATTATAATCTCATGTAGGTATTAGCCAAAGCTAGCCTTCTGTTTCACTTGAGTGCTGTGTTCGATTCCCATCTCTAAAGGTGAAAATGGGAAAGAAGAGGGGAAAGGACAAGACCTCCAAGGAGGATGATGAGCTTGACCTGACAGGTAAAGAATATTTCATCATCTTTCATGTCATGCAACAACCTGTGGAAAGCCTAGTGTGAGACTTCCTTTTCATTTAAATCTTTATTGTCCCAGTTCCATCCTGTAGGCATATTAAGAAGGGAACAGACCAAACTCTTCTCAAGAAACTTTCTGGTACCTCAGATTGGACGAGTTGTCAGGATTGTAAGCAGGAAGAAAATAAAGAAAATATCAACAACCATCTGCCACAGGAGGCTGAGGAAGAAGAAGAAACAGGATTGTGGATGTGCTTGAAATGCGGCCATAGAGTGAGGTTTTTTTTTTTTGTAACTATTTGTCATTGGGTTTAAAATGGCGTGCATTTTTTCTAAATGCGTCTTTTCCACTAGGGATGTGGACGGAATTCTGAGAATCAGCATGCCATCAAACATTATGAAACTCCCCGGTCTGATCCACACTGCTTGGTGGTCAGCTTGGACAACTTTAGTGTGTGGTGAGCATTTTATGTTGTTTTGCTAATCATAGGCCTCTACATCAAGTTTGAAATAAGAATAATATGTTTTTGGTTTTTCGCAGGTGTTATATATGTGATGATGAAGTCCATTACTCCAGAACAGGGCATTTGGCTCAGCTAGTAACCAACCTGAAAAAGCAAACATCTTCAGATTCTATAAAACGACCACAGAAACGTAGGTACCACTGGGGAAGTCTAACACGCACATACATTAGACTGCTTCTAACCATGTCAACCCTGTTTGCTTTCTTTAGGGGTCAAGGAGGAAGATGCCTTGATGGAAGCTAAACAGAAGGTGGAGACTGTAAAAGAAGATGAAAATGAGGACAAGGAAAACAAAGAAAACGGGGATCACCAAAAGAAAAACACAAAGAAAGAGACTGTTGGGAAATCTCAGAAGAAGAGCACAACTGAAGAGCATTGTGGTGTTTCAGTAAAGGGTCTGAGCAATCTGGGAAACACCTGCTTTTTCAATGCAGTCATCCAGGTAAGACTGATCCTTACAGGATGCCGGTCTTGAGTTCAGTGAGAGTTATTACTGATTGCTATCGTTTTCTTTTCCAGAATCTGTCTCAAACACAACTCTTAAAACAGACTCTCAACAAAGTGACAGAAGAGAAAAGTCTCAACATTAAACCCGGTGCTTCTTTAGATCTGGTGTGTTTTCCCCACTTAATAGAGTAGTTATGTTCCTCTACTCATTACTATTTATAACTAACTTTCTTTATTATGATGACAGGAGCCTATAGAAGTGCAGTTAGACGGTCCCGGATCTCTAACTTTGGCTATGTATCACCTACTCTGTGAGATTCAGGAATCGAAGAAGAGTGTAGTAACACCACGGGAGCTGTTCACACAAGTTTGTAGAAAGTAAGAATGACTATAGTTTTATGTTAAAAGTCAACTTTAAAATGTGCTTAAAAGTATAGCTCCCAGCATTAGTGCAAGTGTGGCTCATCATTCATCTTATCTGTGCAGGGCTGCCAGGTTCAAAGGATTTCAGCAGCAAGATAGCCAGGAGTTGCTGCGCTACCTGTTGGATGGCATGAGAGCCGAGGAGCACAATGTGTGTACTGAGTTTGAAACTGATCTCCCCATATTTAAGTCTGATAGATTTCTACTAAAATGAGAACTGTGGCTCTTCAGAGGGCTATATGTTACATTGCAATAGATTGGTTTGACAGCAGAACACTGTTGTAGTGAGTTGTTTTATGTGGCGGCATTAAATGTAAGAAATTGTGTTTTAAAAACATTTTCTGTGTCCTATTTAATGACCTTATAATTCTTCTTCTCAGACAGTTGGTTAATTTTCTGTGTGCAGAGGTTTTAACAGGAGCAAATTTTAAGGGTAAAGGCCCTAAAATTAAGGTTTTGTGAAGAATGGATGTCTCCATCTTGTGGTTAATCAAAGGTATCTTTCATCTTTTGAATATTACGGTTGTATCTGTGTTAACAGAGAATAAGCTCAGGAATAATGGACACATTGAAACAATCTAGAGAAGGCACAGATGGAGAGCTGAAAACGCTACTAAAAGGCAAGTAATGCTGCTATGTATTATTAATCAGTGTTAAATAAAAGTACGTTGCTAAAGTTTTTGCACAGTAGCTTTTCTTTGAGAAATGTGGCTCTAACGTTTAATTTCTTCTTTCAGAGTATGAGAAAAATGGATTTCTAAAAAACTTTGTTGACCAAGTTTTTGGTGGTGAAATTACCAGCACTATTATGTGTCAGCAGTGTAGAACGGTATGTATGAAGACCAGAAAGTAAGTAAGAGAATATATCCTGATGATGTCACTCTAAAAATATCCACTTGTTCATCCTTACAGGTTTCTGTGGTCACAGAGATGTTTTTAGATCTTTCCCTTCCTGTTTCTGATGAGGTAAAGCAGGCATTTGTTTTGTTTTTTTGTTTTATTTTTGATAGTTACTTGAGTAGTTATTTGTTAATGTCTGTATCAGTTATTGTTCCCTATTGTGGCATCCTATAGGCATATAGAAAGAAGAACCAAAAAAAGAAGACCAGTGCTTCAAGCCAGGATGACAGCAGCAGCCCTGTTCGGACTAGTGGGAATGATGACATTCCCACTGGGGCTGGCAGCAAGTACCAGCAGAAGAAAGCCAAGAAGCAAGCAAAGAAGCAGGCAAAGGTGTGTCAGTGAATGCATACTGAAGGAAGTTTCTTTTTTCTTAAACTTAATTCATTAATTAATCCAAATTAATCCATCTCGACTTTCAGCATCAAAAAAGACAGCAGAAGCTTGAGGGTAGAGCCACTTTGGACAGTCTCACCTCTCCCAGCCAGGCTGAGAGCGAACACACAGATGCTACAGCAGAGTCAAAGGACAGGGAAAACACTGATAATGAAACACTTGAAGAAGATTCACAACATCCTGCTCCAGTCAGTGTGTCTGAAGAGGACCAAAAGCCCTGCAACGCAGTGCAGGTGGAGCAGGAAAAAGAAGAGGATGAGGATTCAGCGAGTGACCCTGACTCATCAGTCAGCAACCGGTTTACTGCCTTATCAGTGGAACAGCACTCAAAGGACAGCACCGTATGCAATGAAATGGCTAACATGGGTCATGAAGAAGACAAGACAGAAGAGGAAGACACACAGCTGGTGAGGAAAATGAGTAAAGTAACCTTGGATGATGCCTTTATAGAAGACACTGACGCAATGGAACAAAGCATGGAGAGTGAAGATGGAGTGATGGAGACTAAGGAATATACAGTAATAAACCAAGATCCAGAGCTGGCCTTCCACACGATGGCTGTCAGGACAATCCCAGAGAAACAGGAGTGTTCAGTGCAGTCGTGCCTTTTTCAATTCACAGAAGTAGAAACCCTCACGCAAAACAACAGTTTACTTTGTGTCACCTGCACCAAACGGCAGCTGGGGAACAACAAGTCTGGAGGTATTTAAAATGCTTCCACATCAGTACTTAGTACTTAGTCTGCTATTTAATGTCCTTTGCATGTCTATGCACATGCAATTTTACATAGTGAAGTATCACAAATGTGTAATTTTCTTTTCTAATACCATTATTAAACTTTCTTTATACATAGTTTAGGGATCGACTAAAACCCACTGTCTTTTTTGTGCTGTGTTTAGGATCCAAGAAGAATATCTACACTGATGCCTTGAAGCAAATCCTTATCTCCTCTCCACCTTCAGTCCTTACTCTTCATTTAAAGAGATTTCAACAGGTATGCTCTGCACTGATCCAGTTCGCTGTCAGCTAAGGTTTTTATCACAGAGTTATGAGCCAAGCTTTAAAGAACATTGAACCCTTTATGGTAAGGCAATCAAGAAATCACTATTTGGATTTTAATGATGTTTTTTACCTGTAGAATGGCTACAGTATTTGTAAGGTGAATAGACATGTCACCTTTCCTATGATACTGGATCTAGCTCCCTTCTGTGCAGTCAAATGCAAGGTAAGTATGGGAAGTAACATGTTTTATTATACTGTACAAAGACGGCTATAAGTGAATTAAATGTAGAAGCACTAACCACTAGTTGTTTTGAAACAGAATATACCAGAGGGACATAGTCAGATCTTATACGGTTTGTATGGCATCGTAGAGCACAGTGGAACAATGAGGTCAGGTCATTACACGGCCTATGTGAAAGTGCGGCCCGAGTGCCCTCAGCCCTCATCCAATGGACTTACAGACGGTGGGTGTACTCTGGCTTGACCGTTAATAGGATAAACACTTCTAAAAATGAAATGTATAAACTCATCGTTTCCCTTCAGGAGATGCAGAGCCATCCAGAGGATCCTGGTTCCACATCAGCGACACAAGCGTTCAACCTGTGAGTGAGAGTAAAGTCCAGAGCTGCCAAGCCTACCTCCTCTTCTATGAAAGGCTCCTCTAATTGTGCATCACCACTCAGGAAATCCAAATAAACCAATGCTGCTTCAGTTTCACCTTCTAAGGGATCTCAAAGAATATTTCCGCCTCTACCTGTTCTGTCAGTGTCTGAAATTGTATGACAGTGTCTGAAATATTAAACAGGTCATTTTTATCAGTCTCATACCAGTACAGAAAACCTAGTTGGACAATGAATTGACAATATGGAACTGGAAGTCACAGTTTCAGTATATTAATGAAAGCTTGGGATAGATGATATGTAGATATATATTTTTTTCTTTTTTAAATCAATGTCATGTAATTAAATGTTGCAAAAACAAACTCCTCCTGTGTGCTGGTTTGTCGATACTTGCTATGAGTCTGCGCAGTAAGTGCTGCTAGCGCTTCCTTGTCCAAGCTGTCACATGACTACAGTGAAGTCAGGCTCGGAATGGCCAGAAGCATCTGTACCCTATCCCTACATTTACTAATGGCAGTGTTATCCAGGTAGCATGGCAGGTCAGTAAACGTTTGGCTTTTTAAAGAGCATCGAGTAAAGTCACAATAGCGGAATGTTTCAGTTTCTGTTTTTTTGCTAGCAAAGGATAAATACGAACTGAGCGCAGTTAAAGCTAACGGTCTGGCCTAGCCTCAAGCTTTTCCGTTTGCAGACAATTACCACTGTTATTTGTTTAGCTAAACGAATCTAATATAAGTCGTCAGTAACATAACGAACTGATCATAATTTTGGACATGCTTTTATTGCCTTTATCCACCAGGCCCAGTTGATTAACTTGGCTAAACGTGAGTCAGCATTTTAGCGTTGAACTTGGCGTACAAGTTAAAGAGTCACCGTTTAACCCACATTTCCTTGCTGTGGGGAACTATTAGTTATCAGCAAGATTAAATATTTGCGAAGTTAGATAGTTAAATATTGAGAGGCAGTCGCCTAACTTAAGGACTATGTTAGAAGTAATTTTAGCGAACGTTATAGTTATTTTTCTCTTCGTTACTTTAGTCAGATTAAAAGAAAAACGCACTGGAGCATGTTTTTACATGTCGTTATACTTATATAGGTATTAAATTCTATTTGACTAACTATTCATCAGTAATTTCCTTGAGGGAGAATTTTATTCATAATCAAGTGTTTCGCCAAGTAGCTGGTGTCTTGTACCACTTCTGCTGCCCATAACAGCAGTTTAAGTTCCTGAACCTTTACATAACTTTACATAATACTAAAGCTCCCCTTGCAATACTCAACATTGGGATTTCTCACTTTTTTTCCAACTGCATATTACGTTTAACATTGTCAGTCTGTTTTATCCAGTAAAATAAAGTTATTTCACTTCGCTTATTTTTTTCCCCACAAAATGAGATTGTTACTCATATAAACACTGTCACTAAAATGTGCAATAAATGTTACCATAAGAGGGTCTGCCGTCAGTTTTTGATTGAATTGGGTCAAGTTGGTAATTACATGCAGTCTGTTTCTGTTAATATAACACTTAACTGTGATAAATCATTGAAAGCTACTTTTTTTGCTGTCTATATAGACAGAAGCTGGCACTTAGTTATTAGATTTGTATTCCGGAATCTCCCTGTTTTATAAGAAAACTGATAAAGACTCATTTGGACTGAATGATCAGTGCAGTCCCAAATGGTCATTTTTGTGCAACACCCTCAAGCTGTGAGCAACCATTTAGACATTTAGAAAAAAATTAAATACAGTCACAAGGCAGCCACTGATTTATTTTATTTTTTTTTAATGTATTAGTTTATTTTTGATTGCAAGGAATTTGCTGTCCTGTTTTACTTGAGTGACTGGGCCGTTAGTTTGCTCTGAATCAGGATTTAGCTTTGCTGAGCTAAGTGTGTCCATTGTTTTTTCAGTCTTGCTGATTTATACATTCATGATTTATAAATTTGCTCGGCTAACATTATCTCGGTCATACATGAGATGAACCCTCTTGTTCGTAATATTCCCAGTATTTTAATTAATTAAATAAAATATAAATATTTGGTGTCCCTGTATTGATATGCTATTGCCACACAAAATATTGTGATACATTATTCTTTTTCTTTTTTTTTCACCAAAAAAATGTGCCTTGCAGCTGTCTGTGGTTGCCTCATGATACACGGAAGGCTTTGCTAAAGACACCTTTAGTGCAAGCAATGATTAGTTGTATTGTATTCTGCTCATTTTTTAGTTATTTAATCCATAGAATGTCTGCAAACTCTTAAGAAAACATACATTCAAAGTCACGTTGACAACTTACAATTGGTCTAAAATCTGGAACGGTTTATGTCGTCGTAGATGAGTTACAGTACCAACATCGGAGAACCAGAAACCCATGAATTTCTGTACTGTGTCTTTTATTTATTTATTTTTACAAATTAATTAAAATGGATGCAAAATCTAGACGAAATAAGAAAATAATTATAGTTACTTCTGCATGATTTGGCAGATTTTTTTTCCAACTCAAAGAGATTTGTGTCTTGAGCTGGGAATCTTTCACTTGTTAGGCAAATGTGTAAACTGCTCCACTCTGTAGCCACTATAATATAATACACATTGATAAACCTAGAGAAATGTTTCTTGTGTAATCATGACATTTTTGTTAACTCCATATGGCTCTCTTTTTTGCACAGGCTGAGCTTGTAAGAACTATGGCGCTCCAAGCTCCTCGCACATCGGTGTTCACCTTCCAGTCTGCAGTGCACAGCGCCCACGTTCTGCAGTGTCTGAATGAGCAGAGACAGCAGGACGTCCTGTGTGATGTGACGGTGGTGGTGGAAGACAGGAGTTTCCGTGCTCATTGCTCTGTCTTGGCTTCTTGCAGTGAATACTTTCACAGCAGGGTCACCAGTGTCACCAGCCAGAATCCCATCATCACCTTGCCACATGAGGTTGGTGCCTTGGGGTTCAGCCAATTTATATAGGGAAAAAACTAATATGGGTGATACTGTTGAAAGTAAATGGTGGTAATGTTATACAGGCACCATTATTTTATCCCTATTATCCATGAAAAGTGTATGCATAGTTAGATTTGTTGTCTGTCCACTAGCTTCTATTACTTGGTCCATTTTGTGTCATAATGTGAGTGAAAAACAGTTGCAGTGTTTGGAAAATTCAACTTAAAAAGGTCAATACAGGTACATAAGAGACCTGTTGAAACTGAATTTTTGAGCTGCCTGAGTTTCATTGTGTTTTATTATGTTTCAACAATTTATGTCTTTCCCCTGCAGGTGACCGTAGAGGGGTTTGAACCTTTGCTTCAATTTGCCTATACATCAAAGCTCCTTTTTACCAAAGAAAACATTGATGCTATTCACAGCAGTGCTGAGGTTTTAGGATTTCACAACTTGGAGTCGACATGCTTTGATTTTCTCATCCCAAAGTTTTGTGAAAGCAAAAAATCCTCACAGGAGGTCAAGCAAAAAGTCTGTTGCCAGAGCCGGGATCCTAGTGCAAGTTTTGGCTCTCGTGCAGAGAGTAGCCAACCAGAATCATGTGAGTCACACAGCTCAGTGCCTTCAGGAGGTGATGAACAAATAGACTTCCCGTCGCAGTGTCCACAGAGTACACAAGGTCAGACAAACAGCAGGGAGGAACACTTCTGTTTGGAGAACTGTGGACCACAAATGGCCCCCTTATCTCTGGAGTTAACAGGAAATGGCATGTGCCCCATGTTGTCTCTGCCTTGCCCAAACTCTGACAAAGCAGATCATCCGTCTCAGTTTTGTGAAAACGACATTTTAGAGATGGGAGACGTGTGCAGTCAAAGTGAGATGCGTTTGGCAGACTGCGGCTTATCTTGTGAGCTGTCAGCCTCGGGGGATGTGAATCCACCAGAACTCATTGATCCACCAGGCAGAGAAATTAAACAAACTGTTGAGACACTTGGTGCAGAAACCAATTGCATCCCTAGCTCATGTCCACTCGAGACTTCAGGGGCAGAAGATTGCAGTACTTTAATAAAACAGAGTGAGGCTCACTTTGAACAGGGAATGACAGGTGATCTTTCAAACTCTGCACTGACTACTCTAAGCCATGAAGAAGGATGTGGCGAGAGAAGTCGCGTGGAGAGGGAGGTGGCTGAACATCTGGCAAAAGGATTCTGGTCCGACCTCTGCCCGTCTCAGGCTCAGCCACTTCCTGTGGATCCAGTGGAACAAAATAATCTAGCAAAAGCATCTGACTTTCACTGGCTTAAGCAGCTGGACCTGAGTGCCAGTGTAGGAGACTGTCCCTTTCTCAGGGACCTTGGAACAGATGATGCAGCTACACACACCGACAGCTTGTCTCAGGCAGAGAAGAGCCCTTGTATGTCCTCCTCAATAAACTCTGCTGATGACTCTGACCTGGACACAGATGGCGATACTGAGGCCAACAACAAAAGAGCGGAAGAGGTTGTTATTATATATGCGTCTGATGTTTGGTTATTGGTAATGGAAGATAGAAAATCAAATTAATCTAAATTGTTTAACTCTAATCTTCAGGTTCAGCTTCCATTCCCAGTGCAGCAAATCTCAGTGCTGAGCCGGAGTGAATTTCAGCAGCTTCTGAAAAAACATTCATTGACCCAGGAGCAGCTGGACTTCGTCCATGACGTCCGTAGACGAAGTAAAAACCGTGTGGCTGCACAGCGGTGCCGGAAGAGAAAACTGGACAGCATATACCAGCTAGAATGTGAAATCAAAGGATTAGTAAGTTGACTCTAACATGCCTGATTTTCCAAACATACTCTTAAACATGCTATAATGTAATTTCATAAACTAGTAATATTTTTTTTTAACTTTGACATGATGACCACTGTGAACTGCAGCTTTGTGGATAACACTTCTTTCTGACGCATCCTTACCACCTTTTTCTATCCCTTATTCACACTCGGGTCACAGGGGCAGTAGTCTAAGCAGAGCAGTCTAGTCTTCCCTCTCCCTACCATTGCTTTCCTGCTTGTCCAGGGAAACACTGAGTTGTTCCCAGGCCAGATGAGAGAAATAATCTCACCATTGGGCACTGGGGGTGCCTCCTCCTGGTATCACATGTCCAAATCACCTCACCTAGGAGGCATCCTAGTCAGGTGCCACCTCAACTGTTCCTTTCAATGTGGAGAAGCAACAGCTCTACAAGTCACTCTTTAATATCCAAACTCCTCATCCTGTCTATATGGGACAGCGCAGTCAGCTTCTCAAGAAAACTCATTTCACAGAGTGTATCCATTATCTTCATTCTTTCAGCCACTAACCGGAGCTCGTAACCATAGTTTAGGGTAAGAATGTAATTTGTCAGACAAATTGACAGCTTGGGTTTTCTGCTCAACTTTCTCTTCACCACA